TGTGATCCTTTATGTTGGAGAAGTAATGTCAAATGCAAACACATTATCCTATTGAGTATGTCTCTGTATCAAATACCCAATTTCCCTCAGGGTATGTCTACACTGCATTCCTCTTTTGAGATAGGAATGCAAATGCAGCCAAGCGAAATTGCAAATGAAGCATGAATTTGAATTTCCCATGCTTCATTTGCATAATGGCATCCGGTTGCTTTTTCAAAATACCCTATTTTAAAAAAACAAAAAAATACTGTCTAGATGGGGTTATTTAAAAAAAATCCTTCTTTCAAAATAACCCTTAAACCTCATTTTTTAAGGAGTAAGAGTTATTTCGAAAGAAGGTTTGTTTTTTTTCGAAATAACCCTGTCTAGAGGGTGGTTTTTTTTTTCAAAACAGGGTATTTAGAAAAAAATGCCCAGTCGCCATTATGCAAATGAAGCACAGGAAATTAAAATCCGTGCTTCGTTTGCAATTTTGCTCAGCTGCATTTGCATCCCTCTCTCGAAAGAGGAATGCAGTGTAGACATACCCTCTATAGAGTGGAGACTCTGAATCAGTTCTACTCAAAGCTATCTGAAATAAGTATTTCAAAAATTTGATTGAAATCTATATAAACGAAAATATAATGATATATCATAGAAATCAGATAATATCTTGCAGCTCTCCAGATCAGAAGTGAGAATGTTGCCTGCTGTTTTATTGCATCTCTGTTGGTTGTTTTGTTAGATGAAGATGCTAGTTACTGATGTATGCATATTTATCGTTTTGCCAACATGATATAATTCACATCCCTGATCCCTCCAAGTGCATGCAGAGAGAGCTTTATTGAACGTAAGTGGTTTGACTTTAATTATTCCATGATTTGCTAAGAAATGCACTAGACTATCAGGATATTACAAATATGAAACTTTATGAAAAGCAAACAAATAAACAACAGCATGAAAACTACCATTGCCTCATTGTGTTTATGCTTCATAATGTATGTCTTCTTCTTTTTCAATACAATATATAATATAGAAATAAGATTATATTATGCAATTCAGAATACATAGACTTGGCTTGTTTACAATTCTTACTGGGTAGGAACACTACAGCGTTAATTCAAAATATCTTATTTCAAAATAGTTAATTTGAAATAAGTTATTCTGAAATAATGTGTTTACACACAAAATGCATTTCACAATAGCCTTTTTCTATTTTGAAATATCACGTCCACACTGAGTGGACACTGATTCGGATTTAAGACCGGCCGGAACCAGGTCAGAGGCTATCTGAGGCTTGTGCTTAAAGGGGCCCCCCCCTCCAGGCAGTCGGTTCTCAGGTATCCCTGCTTGTTTGCCTGCCTCAATGAGGGACAGCAAAGCATTTGTGTCTTGGAGTGCTCTGGTTGCCCTCCCCCGGGACACCACAGCACTTTGCAACATGGAGCCAGAGCTGCCCCTGGGCACCCCGGTGTGTCTCGTGGACGCGTTGCTATCAGCCTGGCTGCACTTGCTGCCGGCTGCCATCCGGGAGATCCATCGGGGGGCTGTCAGTATCCAGGAGGCCCTGTGGGATAGTGTCCACCCTGAGGATCACTCAGAGCCTCCCTGGTCTGCCCCACTGGGAGCTAGTGCCTCATTCCTCCCTCACGTCCCTTCCACGTACCCCTCTCTATCCCCCCTTCCTAATGTCAAATAAAATATACTGTATGTACGTGTGAGCTTCCACCCTGAGGAGCACTAACAGTCTCCCTGGTCTGCCCCACTGGGGGCTTGTGCCTCATTCCTCCCTCAGGTCCTTCCACTAACCCCCACCAGTCCCTCTTCCTGATGTCAAATAAAATACATGTATTTTCATAAACACAAACTTTCTTTATTTAACAAAACTGGGGGAGGAGAGGAATGAAACTCTGGTAAGACTGGGGAAAGGAGGTGGGAGAGGGGAGAAGGGAGGGTGGGAGAGGAGAGGGGGAAACCTGGGAGGAGGGAGCTGGAAGGGGGAAGCAAGGGAAAGAAGGGGGAGGAGAAGCTTAGGGGTGGGGGTCTTGCTGGGCCAACTGTCTCCCAGCACAGCAGGTACGGGGGCCTCAGCATCCCCGGAGGCATGGGGAGGAGGGTGTGGAGGGGGACAAGGAGGGGGAGGTTGAGAAGGGAGAGGCGGGAGGGGGAGAAGGAGTGTGAGAGGAGCAGTAGCTGGGGAGGCAGCAGGCACTGGAGTGGCACGATGCAGCACTCTATGCACCAGGGTCTGCAGGTGTTCGCAGATGGCACGATACTGGGCAAGCAGCTCCCGCTGGAACTCCAGGTCATCCTGCACCCAGTGCTACAAGCTGCGGTGCAGGGCTCACAGGGCCCTCAGGGGCTGCTGTCGGTACCCCTGCAGTGTTCGGGTGGACCTGCTGAGCCCTCGGGTGTGGGAGAATGTCCCGGGCAGGGTAGTGCGCCCTGCACGCGTAGCTGGTGC